CTAATAATTAATATTTTCAATGTTAAATTAAGCGAATAAGATCTAGAAATAAAATAATTCAAATATTTTTCGTTTTTTTGCTGATTTTTTAACACTTCAATGGCAAAGTAGCTATAAGTAAGTAGCTTGAAGTGTTAAAAAATCAGCAAAAAAAATAAAAATATTTGAATTATTTTATTTCTAGATCTTATTTACTTAATTTAACATTGAAAATATTTATTTATTAGAAGGAATGTGATCAAGTTCAAGTGCTGTCATATATGGAGAGATTTGATACTACGGCGAGAGCAGCAAAGACTTTGAGGCGGCCGTACTCTCAAACTATCAATTTTACATAAAAACGGTTTTCTAAAGAATTGTAGAAAATTTTATCTAGTTTAATTCGTATATAGATACTTTTATCGTAGAATGAGCCAGAAAGGAGATATTTTAAAAAAGCTGTTTTTTGACGCCATTTTTTTAATATGGCGGCAACTTGCCGTTCAAATTTGAGGTGGCAAAGTTGATTTTCGTAAAGAGCACCTCGAAATCTATAAGATTACCAATTTTCAGAATTCCCGGAGTACTGTACCGGCAAAACGACCAAATGACTGGACTATAAGTGGATTATTAAAATTAACTAATTAAATTATGGTTGTAGGTGGAAAAATGCAATTGTGCATTATTTCAATTTATATTACATTATTGTGTCATTTTTTATATATCTTTAATCGCCAAAAGATTTACCAGACGTCCATATAGAATAGTTGCAAATATCATGTTTAAAAAAATGACACAATAATATAGTATAAATTGATAAACATTAAATTAGATAAACATTCGGTATTTCTATTAACTACATATTAGAGTTTATTCAAAAACCGACATTTTAGAAAACCGGTTTTCGAATAGTATTTTTCCGAGAGCCGGTTTTAATCGGTATTGAATTTTCATTAAAAAAAATATTTACCCGAATGAGTAGAACAAAAAAATTATAATTGACCAGAATTAAACAACATTAAAAAACTTAATTATTGGTTACTTATGCATAATTTTTAACTTCCTATAGGGTAAGTTATAGTAATCCTCCAAAAAATTACGTTTCAAAGGTTTCTGAACATTTTGGCATATCTTAGAAAAAATGGATGTGTTCTTTTGTTACGTAGTTATAGAATTTATTAAAACTCTCCTTCGATAATTCAGGTTGTTGGGTTATAATTTAACCCTTGTAGCTGTGGACTATATTAAACACTGATTTGTTTGTATATTATGTATTTGTTGCAGTTCTAATTACAATCATTGATTTGTTACTAAATGAAAGAAGATATATTTACTTTTATTGGTTATTTACATGTTGTTGAGCGGACTTTACTTTTTAAAGTGAACAACTAGTTCAATTAAAACACTCCGCTACCCTCTCTACCAGGGGTAGCAGCATTCTGTGTAAAGCTTAATGACCTGAAGTTTGTCACCTTCATAGCCAATATAATAAAACGAAAAGACGCCCGAACAGGATGTGTAGATACAATTTTTCATAGACGTTTTTGGAAGCACCGCTCAACCGATTTAAATGATTCAAAAAGCAATCGATTCCTACTGATGGGGAGACGTGCTGATTAGTTTTAAGGAAAGACAAGTTCAGCCGTTTCAAAGATACGAAACAAAAAGTGCAGAAAGTGGATATTAACCCTTTTCCCTTGCAAATTACGAGATTTATATGTATTTTGACGCCGGAGCGGTGGCATCCGAGTGGAAAGGGTTAAGTTTTTGAGAAAACAAATCATCCGATTAGAATGATTCAATAAATATTCGAATTTAATTATAAGTTTAAAGACGTATTTGTTTTGCATGTAAATAATGTATGATGATTTACAATTCTATCAATAATTTTTAATTAGATCATTTTACACTGATTGATTATTCTTGTTCCTCGAAGATTCAAAAACAATATACATTACTAATATGGAAACGAAGGACTTTTTAAGTGTTGAATTCATACATTGAAAACCAGTATTTTCTACGAAAAAACAGTTTCCAAATCTCTTAAAGAACAGGTTTTTAAATACCGACAAACCCTACTACATACATACTAATATACATATCAATGTCTACAGTATTTAATGTTCTAATACCTAAATAATTATAACTTAATAAAATTTTACTAAATAGCATATGAAAAATTATGTAACTTCATCATATTTTAATATAAATACGATAAATACGGTCAGTTGATTTATAAAAATGCATAACATTTATGAATGAAAAATTAATTTACAGTATTTTAAAAATATATACAAAATTGCTTTCAGAGTGTATCATAAACATTGACCTATAATAAGATAACTTGAAATTGCATCGAGTATTGAAGATAAAGAAGTGAGAAATATAGGTCATGCATCTTAGAATAATTTGATTTCAATTGTACAATCATATATGGAGTTCGAATATATATAATATATCAATTATTATGCATAAGTCAAGATTTTCATATAAATAGTTCATATTAATTTTTGAGTAAACTTTCAACTAGCGCGGAGTCTATAGGTGAGTTCCGTTTTGCATTTGTTGTCTCACAGGGGACATATGGCAAATTCAGAACATATTGTCGCTTTATGGATGAATATGAACTTTATGCGTTTGATTATTGCGATATCTATAAAAACGTTCATAAAGATAAAATAAAATAGTGCACTTAATAATAGAACTGGGGCAAAACAGCATATAAAAACGTTTGAATTAATATGATGATATAAAAGATTACAGTAAAATGTGAGCTTAACTTGTTCGCTGAGGTTCATATACGAGAATAAGAATACCTTTCTAATAATATAAAAACTTGTTTTACACTATTAAATAAGATACTTTATTTAATGTGCAGGCTATTATGTTAATGAAGTATCGATGAGTGAACTAGAAATTAAGCCTTAGTCAAAACTAGTAGTAATAATCAATCATGTAATTTTTTATTTTAGTATTTTTTGTTAACACATATAGAGAAATAACGAACTTACAAACTTTGCCTCGTTGACAATATTTTCTACCCAAGACAGATGTACACTTCACAAATAAAACTTACTTAATAAAATTGATTTTGAACAAAAACTTAAAAAAGTAAATGGATTTTTAAATTAAATTGATTTCATAACAGTAGCAATACAAGATACACGATCTATTGCAAAATATTTCATTTTATTGTGAAATAAATAATGACACATGTATTTCATTGCTCTTACTATACAATGAACAAGCATTATTGATCACCATTAAAAATTTACTCTTTTGATTGTTTTTGTGGAAATAATTACGTGCATGCAAATTTACGATTTACAGATATACGGATTGCAGAATAAAATTGAATAAAAAATTTCGACAAAATACTAAAAAAAACAGTTTGAGAGTAAATTTTTAACAGTAATCGACAACGCTAATTCATTGTATTGTAATTGCTATGAAAAAAATCTACTACTAAATATTTGACTGAATGTATAAAATTATTTAATATTTGACCATATTAAATAATTGGACTATTTACTTATTTATTTACTTTTTACAAAATTATGTACAATACATGTATTCGAATAAGTTTGAATGTAATGTTCGAATAAGTTAAATGATATAGGGCAAGGATGAGCAACCCGCAGCCCCCGAGCCCATAAGACTTAAAATATTTTTCTGTTTATTTCTTCAAGCATTTTTAAATAGATTTTTTTTACCTTTTTAATTTATGTTATAATATTCGTTTAAATTAAACTTTGTAAATTATTAATAAGTGCGGCATAAAGTTTTGAAATTCAAAGGCGGTTAGTTTAAATTATTACTTTGTAAATTATTAATAAGTGCGGCACAAAATTTTGAAATTCAAAGGTGGTTCACCACAAAATTTGAAAATTTAAACGCAGCCCATGATTTAAAAGGGTTGCTCCCCTTGATATTGGGTTATAATGTTGAATTTGGATTATATAGATAATCGGTATAAGATTATTAAAGTAAAAGTGGTTGATGAAAGTTATTTATTTCTTAGAATTTTGATATTAAGTTGTATTAAGTGGTAAGAATTGCATTTTTAATTTAAAATTTGTTGTTTTAGTTTGTATTTTAGAATAAATATGTATAATTTTTGTATAATAATTTAATTCTCATTTGTTCTGATTTGTTTTGTATAATATCTTATATCGTTTTATACTTTGGATTTAAATTGGATAGAAATTCATCGTTAGTTTTTAATCAAATATTTAAGAAAAATGTAGTCTTGAATTTGCATAACAATGATTTGCGTTAAACTATAAAACTTGTATTGCTAATTATTCATTAGTATTAAGAATGATTTGAAGAAAACATGATTTGTATCAATAAATAAAAAGTCATACAGTAGTAATAAGAAAGAATGGAAGCAGAAGTTGGGAAAGGAAAATTCATAAAAATGAATAAAAAGATGATTAATAGGAACAAAATAGTAATGGAAAAATAAACGAAGTAAGGAAAAGGAATCATTAATTTTGTGGTATTCTCATACCATACTCTTTATTATTATTTACAGTAGTAATTGGTAAAAGTATATTTATATTTATTAATTTCAATTGTTACTCAATTTGAATTCAAACTTTTAGTTCTTAAAAATCACTTATAGTCCCTTGAGGCTCAGATACATTCGTTCAGATTCGCTTTTTGTTCTAGCAAAAGCACTTTATTATAATCGATGTAAACCTTAGTAGATCTACATATAAACTTAGTCATTAATCACTGAGCTTTTAGGATTTTTGGATCTGATACGTGGTGATATTCAAATTATGCAAACATCACGTTATTTTTAGTTTGAACTAAAAGATTTATTTTTATGTTAGATTTTTTTAAACTCAGTTATAATCAGTATATCTTACCATACCATGATATTTCGTGATTCGTCAAAAATAAAAACCTCACGTGATATACTTAGCAAAAATACAGTTATCTGAAGATGATCTGTCAAAGTGTAAGTATTTGGATCAAATATCTTATTTATAGATTTGAAAAAAAAAACTCACGCCACTAAACCGCCCAGGAAAGCAACCGGTCCGCCGCCCATGAGTCGTATCCTCCTGTGACAGGAATCGAACAGTGATGGCCGTGGACTCGGCGGTGGGGGCGCTTGCATAGCGACAGCCCCTATCTGAACAGTCGATCTCAACATGACCAACACTGATATTACATCAAATCTTTATTCTTGATGAATAAACTGGTCAAACGACGACTTTCGCCACTTAAGAAGTTAAATCTCGCACATGTGGTTCAAAGATTGCGAAATCAAGTTGATTTGTAATGTCTTGTTGATATTAAACTTGGTCCCAAGATATTGTTTAGTAAAGGAACTAATAAGCAATTATGGTTAACTTGAAATATCTTATTTAAGGTTAGCACTGTATTGTTCGCTGGTATCACACAATAAGAATATTTCCAGCAGTTATTTTTTATATTATTTTGATTATGATTGATTGTCTGTATCTTTGAAACGTTACTGTTTCAATGCACACAATGTCTGTATCGTATTATCCTGCAATTTAAAAGGTCGTAAAATCTAAGAACTATAAAAGAATATATTTATAATGACGTGCTATACAATGTCGTGTTCACTGAAGATTTCATAACTCGTACGATTTATTTCTTGTTACAAAATGCTTAGAGGAATAAAGGATTAAATAATTGTAATAATTTAGTAATTCAATATTATTACTTATCAAAACGAATTACTGTTTTGTAAAAAACAACGTTATAAATATCTTAAAAAATATTAAAATTTTGTTCCTAAAACGAGCATAGTAAAATTGATGTAGCGGATCAATAATTAAACAAAATGAATCATTAAGCCAATATAATAAAAATTCAGAATTCGTATGGTTTCAAAAAGAAATTATGGTAATACAAGATTATTCATTTCAATATTCAATTGTTTAAAACAATTTGCCACCAACATATTTGCCTTTACAAAAGAAGAAGAGGAATTTAAAACACATTAAAATAAATATTGAAATTCCGCATTACAATTAAATACTTAAGGAAAAATTTTATAAATTCAAATTTGAGCGATACTTTAAAAGTAACAGTTAAAACGAAAAATATTATTTATTATATATATTTATTTATATATTATTCGGACGTATTTTCGTTTTATTATATTGGCCATGAAGGTGACAATCTTCATGGCATTGAGGTTTTACACGGAATGGTTGCTACTCCTGGTGTAGAAGGGGTAGCGGAGAGTTTAATGAAACTAATTGTCCACTTCTAAAAGTAAAGTCCACAAAACAACCTGAGTTATCTAATAATTGTATAACTACGTGTCGGATATTCAAATATATATGTTCAAACTTAGAGGCCAATTTTCAGATAAAATAGACCGTAACATAGCGTTGCTATGGTAACGCTATGTTACACTCCGTTCTTCATATAAATTGGTAATAAAGAAATGTGTCAAAATGCTGTATTTGCTGTATGATCAGACATTTCACACATAAACCTAACCTTGAAACGCACAAAAGTAAAAAAAAATGCTATTAGAACTACATCTTTGTAATGCGCATTCATAACACATACGTGAAGTTAGATGTTTTGTGTAAAACGCCTGATTGTACAGCAAATACATAGCATTTTGACTACCAATTTATATAAAGAAAGGAGCAAACATAGTGTTGCCATAACAATGCTACGTTACCGTCAATTTTATCGAGAAATTGACCCCTTTCTTAAATTTTATTACAATATTACCAATACACCAAAAATCTATGATTGAACATTGTTTGCATACTCGGTATTTTTTTTTAAATTAAATAAAACTTTATAACGCAGAGGATCCTTTCAATAAAGGAGACCTCTAAACGCCATATATAACATCACATAGCTTATAGAAACAATGTATTCAGATTGTCTATTGAAAAATAAATAAAAAAAATATAAAAAAAGCTTCATAACAAAAGAAATAAAGTATTCAATTCTCACAAATCATATTCCAGATCCTAGATTTACTAAATGTGTTAGTCTCCTCTCTATTTTATAAAACAAAGTATAAAGCAAATTGTAGAGAAATGGGGGGATAATAAATAATGTTAGGCATTAAATATTTTAAGTATTAATCAATTAACTCAGAACTTTTTTGCCCGTTAACTTTCTAAACGACTTATATAAAAAAACACGCCCACGATAACTCTTCGTATATAATTTTAATTTCATATTTACTTTTACTATTACTCAATGGATTTTTAATTTTAAATTTAATTTTAAAGGTAAAGTAGTAGTAGTAGTGGTAACTTCTGGTCAATATGGTAAAATTAAAGGAGCCGATTCTGTGGTAAAATAGACTAATGTTATGGCAAGGCTATGTTATGCAAAGTTTCTCATATAGAACGGTACTAAAACCTGTCGAATGCTATGTGGTTGCTGTGCAGATAGAATCTAGAAAACGTACAAACTTCAAAAAAGAATCTTATCATAAGTGCTTGTTTTGTTGCGTCATAATAACATAAGTGAAGTTGAATTTTATACGTAAAATTTTTAGTATCATTTTATATGGGAAACGCTACGTAACATAGCCTTGCCATTGGTCTATTCTGCGACATAATCGGCCACTCAGTTGTACTGCTTTAGAAAATCTCTATATCTCGTGCCTGCTATGTATTTTCCATTAAAATGAAATATTATGCTAAATTTCAATATCCTCCAAGGATATCTGTCCACAGTCCGACTACGAAACCAATTGCATTTATATTTAGAACGGATTTCTGTGCTTATCGGTTTTGAAGAATACATGCATGATTGAAACCAGTTTTCCCAGTTCTTCGATTTATGATTATATGGACAAGATAAAAAATACAAAGATACAAGATAAACAGACCAATACGCCAACTATATAGAAGCTTTGGCACAGATATGTTAATTTATGGAAATGAGCAACAAATTGATACAAAAATCTCGTGATAATTTCAATTTTGATACAACTGGAAATTATCCATTTTTATGAGAAAAAAAAATGAATTTTGTATTTATTTATTAATAAATATGAGGGGGCGTCTATTGATCACGTAGGGTTTTTAGAGGGAGGAAGGGTTTCACAAAATATCACGTGGTTTTATTTTTCACTTGATTTTTTATTAAATTTAAACATTTAAAAAAAAATCAAGAATTTTACATTTTTTTCTCGCAATCAAAAATACACGTGATGTTTGGTGGGGGAGGGTGGGAGGTTAATTTTGATATAAATCATTTTACATTACATACTTTGATATGTGCCATATAATAATAAACTTCCTCGGTAGTTACCTTTTTGAAATTTATTTGAGCCTTCACGTAAAATATTGCAATGGCTGTTCCAATTCATATTGTTTCACACAGAAAATAAAATAAAGAATATTATTAAAAGTGATCACGTTATAATTATAAAACTAAATTTTACGAACTTTTACCGGCCAATGCCTAAAATATGCCAATGTTACGGCAAGGCTATGTTACGTAGCGTTTTCTATATATAATGGTACTAAAAACTGCCAAAATGCTATGTATTTGCAGTGAGATAAGGCCTTTTACATATAAAATCAAACTTCTCTCATGTATTATTACCACACATCAGAAAGATGCACTTGTAATAAGATTCTTTTTCATACGTTTGTCC